CTTCATCTTTGATTTTCTTTCATCTGAAAATAATATGCCTGGGTGTAGGTTTTTTTGGCATTTATCTTACTTGTTATTTTCTAAACTTCCTGAATCTATAGTTTGATATCTGATGTTAATTTGGGGAAATTCCTACTCATAAAGATTTGACATTGCTTGTGGTCAAACCTTTTTCTTTTCTTTCCCCTCCCTCCCTTCCTTTCTTTTCCTTCCTTCCTTTTCCTTTTTTCCTCCCTCCCTCCTTCCCTTCCTTCTCTTCCTTCCTTTCTTCCTTCCTTCCTTCCTTCCTTCCTTCCCTCCTTCCTTCTCCTTCTGATATTTCCATTATGCATATTTTTGTAGTTGTCTCATAGTCCTTGAATATTCTGTTTTGTGTTTTTTTTTCTCCAGTCTTTTTTCTCTTTGCTTTATAGTTTTGGTGGTATCTAGTGATATGTTTAAGTTCAGAGATTCTTTCCTCAGCTGTGTCCAACCTACTAATAAGTCTATCAAAGGCAAAATTTCTCTTACAGAGTTTTACCTCTAGCATTAATTTTTGTTTTTCTTAAAATTTCCATCTTTACTTACATTGCTCTTCTATTCTTGTACACTGTCTACTTAATCCATTAGAGCCCTTAGCATATTAGTCTAGTTGCTTTTAATTCCCATCTGATAATTCCAACATCACTGCCATATATAAATCTGGTTCTGATGTTTGCTCTGTCTCTTCAAACTGTGTTTTTTGCCTTTAATATATATAGTAATCATTTTAGCTGGACATGATGTACCAGGCAAAGGGAACTGCTGTAAATAGGACTTTAGTAATGTGATAGTCTGGGGAGAATAGAAGTGTTTTATAGTTCTGTGATCCTATTATTAGGTCTCAGTCTTCTTTGAAGGAGACTACACATGTAGATTGTTAACTCCACAGGTATGTCTCCATTTCCCCATCCTCCTTAGGTCAGAAAGAATGGCTAGAGTGGGCTGGGTATGATATTGGTAGATAATTTATTTAACTAATCCTCTTTTGCTCTGCATTTGTCTCTAGGTTTTCTCTAGTTGAACAGACACTGTGATGAACATCCTCAGAGCTAAACCTCTTTGCATATAGGCAAGCACCAATGATTGATAGAAATTGCTTAACTGCTTGCCATAAATTTATATATCACACCAAAATGATAAAGGTCCTGTGTCCTGCATGCTGGCCAACATTGTGAGTTGCCTGTATTTTATCTTTGCTAATTTGTTGGTAAAAAGAACAAAGGAAAAAGGAATCTTCTTGTTTAAAATTGTATATTTTTATTACTAGTCAAGTGTAGCTTTTTTAAGTCTGTTTATTGGCAATTAGCTTTACTTTTTTGTGTGAGTTACCTGATTTTTGCCCCTGGCCTATTTTTCTTTTAAAATATTTGTGTTTTTCTTCTACTATATCTTCAAGTTTTTAATATAGTAAAAATATTAAGTCTTTGACTCTCATATATCCTGCAAGTGTTTTACTAGTTTATTTGCCTTTTATTTTGTTTTTGCTGTTTTTTGACATAGAGAATATCATTTTTCTGTTGGCTGAATCTTTGTTATACTTCAAAAGACCTTTCCCAGCTCAAGATTAAACATCTATTCATAGTTTCTTTTTGGATATTCAAGTATTTTTTAACATTTAAATCTTTAGCCTTATAGGTTTGGGAGGGGAATATACAGTGAATTAAAGAACTAACATTATTTTTTAATGATTAGCCAATTTTAATCACACTTTTATAACTGATTATTTGTGGCAAATGGGAAAAATCAATGATCTTTATGTATGTATTTTAAAATTAGCATTTTTCTGTGTTTCTTACTTATTCTAATTTTTAGTTGGTACTCTGTTTTTCTAAGTAGAAAATTATATATTCATATTTCTAATATTCATAGATCTGGTTTTATTTTCTTTTATTTCTTTTGTTCTAACTTTTAGATCAGACTTATAATAATGTAGATATTATGGTATTTTCTCTTTTAACCAAAATTAATCTGGTATTTTGTTCTTTGTTATTTTTTTTAAGATTTTATTTATTTTTAGAGAGGGAAGGGAGGGGGAGAGAGAGAAAGAGATAGAGAGAAAGACATCAATGTGAGGTTGCTGGGGGTCATGGCCTGCAACCCAGGCATGTGCCCTGACTGGGAATCGAACCTGCAACACTTTGGTTCGCAGCCCGCACTCAATCCACTGAGCTACCCCAGCCAGTTATTTTACATAACCTGTAAAATACAAGGGCTTGTTCTTTGTTATTTTTAATTTTAAAAAATTGAATGTCCTTTTTATGTTATTTTGCTTGTTGCGAAAAGTTAGACTTATAGGAAGCCTTCAGTTACATGTCTCTTTGCATGTTCAGTGAAGCTCTAGGGACCTCTCATTGGCAGAATCTGAGTTCTGGTAGGGAACTTGTGAGGTGAGAAGGCATGGGAGTTAGAGGCATTGTCTCTACATCTCGCCTCAAGTCAGTCAGCCACTTTGGCCCTAACACTTATTTAAAAAGCCCCCATACTCTGAATGGCTGAGCATTTGCTACAAGGAAACTCTTGTAAATATCATCCAGTAGCCCAAGAACCATCTACCCTATATAATATGTGAAATGATATGATTTCCTTATAATATCTATTGTATTTTTCTAGCCTGTGTCAACTGGAAAAAGAACTATTCTGAAGTCAAAAGTAATTTTGTATTTTTTAAAGCCAGTGATTGGGGGTGAGGACAGGGAAAACAAGGGCTTGCCCCTGAACTCTGCTCTAATTTAGTAGTAGACAAGAGGTTTGAAAGGGACCTTGGAGGAACTTCTGAGTATAATACTCTCCCTTGTTTTCTTCTCTTTGTGTTCTCTGAAAGGCATATCCAGCTCCCATTAGCTCATTCCTGCCTTGCCTCAGATGAAAAGCCCAAACTGTGTGGTCCTTCCATTTACAATGAAGCAGCTTTTGTGATAATTTCATGAAGTCTGCTGGCCTAAAATGTTCCCCTGATCTTGACTGAGGCCTTCAAGTCCCATATTTTTGCTTCTCATTTAAGTATTGAAATCTCATTTAACAGACAGATGATACATTCAGACCCAGTAAGGGTTACCCCATTAGGCTGCTCTTGGCCATCTCCTCCTTAACATATTAGAGTCCAGATGCTCAAGTTGATCCTCCAGCAGATTCTTGAGGGACAAAGTACAGGGGGATTTGATGTGGCATGGCAGGGGGGTGGATATTTAGACAGACAATCTTTGGTGGGTTCCATTATACACCCTGTGTACTAAAGGAAGGATGGTTATTGGAGAGGGAACAGAAACTAGTCAAAGACCCCCTTGGTATAGGCACCAAGTTTTGTCCATGGTGTCCCTGTCTGGTTAACATGTGGTGCAGCATGAGTTGTCTCTCTCTCTTCCCCAGTGTTTCTCTTGTTCCCCCTTTTGTTTTCCATCCCTTCTTTGTCTTTTCTCTCTCCCATTCCCCTTTCCACACTCCTCTGCCATTTGTCTCTGTAGATTTTGGCACCTGGGAAGGCATTCTGGACATTTCCTTCCTCACCAACTGCCTGTCTCCCAACCTCCCCTGAAAGGTCCTCTTTCTTGCTTGCTTCATGCCTCTTTCTTTCTCTGTTTCCACTTTGCACAAATACTTGATATTGCCAGTTATGCCAGTGAATTTAGGAGGATTATTCAAAGCTTTATGTACCCACCGCTCCAAATAAGTGGAGTGGGTTGAATTGGGACATTTTTCATTCTCTGGTCGGGACAGAACCTGAAAGAGTTTTACACTGAATTTATATTTATTCAAAATATTTTTATTTATTAAGTATAGGAACATGAATTTTAAAATATAAACTACAGTAGTCTCTCTTTATCTGTGGAGTGTATACATTTCAAGACCTCCAGTGGATGCCTGAAACCACAATAGTATGGGACCCAATATATACTATGTTTTATCCTATGCATACATAGCTTCTCTTTGTTATATCCAAATTCCCAGCATCACTATTCTTGTGCTTTGGGGCTATTATTAAGTAAAATAAGGGTTACTAGAGCACAAACACTGTGATTCTGTGACAGATGATCTGATAATCTAGACCAGCGATTGTCAACAAATGTGACACAATAATCTTTAAAACATACACTACCTGTTTAGTCAGTGTCACTGACCTCTTTTTTCCTTACATTTTCAAATAAAAAAGTGAATACAGCCCATACAATCATCTGGTACTAATGCCCTGTCTTGAACCATGAATATATAGTTATATCTTATTGGTCACATCATATAATAAGGTTTAATCTGATTTGTTAATTCTTGTTACCAGAAATCCTTATGTACAAGTATAGGCACCTGATTTTTTGAAAAGTCACTTTAGAGCAAAAAGGGTGGGTAATTACTATTTTTGTTGTTTATCAATCAAAATTATACCTATTTTTGTCAGATTGGCAAAAAATATAATGTATTTTCGGGTGTGCCTCAGAATTTTAGTGATTAGTTTATATGTGCCATGAGATGAATAAGGTTGAAAATCATTGATCTAGATGATTATTAAGTGACTAATGGACAAGGAATGTATACAGCATGGTGATGGTGGAAGAGGGTTGATTCACCTCCTGGATGGGATAGTGTGAGATTTCATTATACTATTCAGAATGACATGCAATTGAAATCTTATGGATTGCTTATTTCTGGAATTTTCCATTTAATATTTCTGGACTGCAGTAGATTAGGTAACTGAAACTGGAAAGCAAAACCAAGGATAAGGAGAGATTACTATATATTGTAAATTGCCATGCTTTTCCAATTAAGCATCTTTGTAGCTATAATCAATACATAAGAGAGAGATACCCTGAGTGAAAATGTAAGAGTTGACTGCTTTCACATGTCACATCTCTAAATGGATAATCAACCATTCTTTGAATCATTGCTTAGACTCTTTTCTTGGCTTCAGCAGCACTTAAAGTGTTTTGTTTTCTTTTTTGTTGTGTGTATGTCCCTGTGATGGCACACACCATGGGCTCTGGCAACTCCAGGGTGAAGTCTTGTCTGTGATGAGAAGAGTGGATGACAACTGGGCAGAGGGAATGCTGGGAGACAAGGTTGGAATTTTTCCCCTCCTGTATGTGGAGGTAAGGCTACCCTATCTAAGGCTTGCCTTCTCTTTTGCTCATGTTGTTTATTTTACCAGACCGGATGTAACCTGACCTTGGAACCCCCATTCTAAGAGAGAAAGAGGCTATTCCACAGTAATCAAAAATGAAACAGGGTTTGTAGTCACCACTTCAGTCCTATGAAAACTGCCTTGGTCAGGTTTGAGTGATCTGTCCCAGACCTAGCTGTGAATCATCTCACTGTGAGGGCAACAAAGGAGGGCTTCTTGTGGGCCTTGCCCAGTTTTGATGGGAAACCTGTGCTGGCACCCATTTTCTGAGACTCTCCACAGTAGTTTTGCTTTGTTTCCCAACCCCAGAGGGGCAGAGCTCATAAGAGATGAAGGAAACACTGCCAGACTATTGGCGGTGTCTTCCTAGGACTCTGCATTATTGGGCAAGTTCATCCATCTGCCAGTCTCTAAAGTAAAGAGTATTTAGGCTAATTTGAGACCCATTAATTTCCTGTCTCTTTTCTTTAACTATGAAGCACTAGGTTTCCAGTGAGTGAGTTCTGATCCACTGTTAAATAGGGAGTGTGTTAGGATGCTTGACTTCTCAACCCCTGTTCACCATTGTGTGTGCAGGAGCATTTGCTGTGTGTGTGTACATGCACATGCATGCACCATTTGTAGTGCATGTGCATGTGTACATTCCTGAGCAGAACACAGGTGCCGCCCTGTGACCACTGGAGTCACCCCTGATAAGAGGCAGAGCTGGGACTTGAATACAGGTTATTTGCCCTAGACTTAGCCCCTCAGTCCCCTACACCCACTAAGAAACCTCAGTTCACTCAGCTTAGAAGGTGACATGGCCAGCTTTGCCACACCTGCCAAGAGTATATGAGTGCCAATAGGTGTTTGTTAAACACATCTGGTGATTCCAGTTGCTTATGGGATAAAGTCCAATTGCTTTAGCATGGCATTCAAGGCACTTTGCAATTTGACCCTAATCTATTTTTCCATTCTCATTTCTTGTCAGTTCTTTCCCCTTCCCTAAATTTTCTGGTCCTCATATATTTTAGATAAGCTGCGTAGGAAAATCTGGGACTCTTCCCACAACAATAAAAATAAGTACACACAAACACACCCATTCTTCTATAGTACACCTGTAAGACTCACAATTTCCCTAACACCATATGAGCTTCTATTTGTGCATTTGCTTCAGTTCCCAAAAGTATGTTCCTTTCCATCCTGCTGCTTAAAATAAAAGAGCTTGATGCATGAATACCACTACAGGGTGGTTGAGAAGTAAAAAACAAATTGTGCTCTCAGACATTTCAGGAAATGTCTGAGAAATTTTTTCCCAGGCAGACTCTTATAGGAGTACTCAAATATATATATTCATATATGTATATATGAATATTCATAGAAACATCACTGTGATGGCCCCAAACTATTGTACAAACAATTCAAATGTCCACCAACAGTGGAATGGCTAAATATAGTATGTCCACAGAACAAACTACTATCCAGCAGTGAAAATGAGCAAAAGATTACTACACTGGACAGCATGGATGACTCTCACAGACAAATTTTTTAAAGAAGCCACACACAAAAGCATATGCTGAAATATTTTTTTGTAATGGAAGTTCAAAATCAGGTAGAACTAGTCTAGGGTCATGATGAGTTTTTTGAGCAGTGGTGACTTTGGAGGAAAATTGACTGGAAGAGATAAGATGGAGGCTTATAGGTATGGAGATGTTTAATGCCTTGGTCTTGGGAGTAGCTACACAGATGGAGCAACTATCAAATGATGCACAGTTAATGTTTGTTCACTCTTCTTTAGACTACAATTTAAGAAGCTTGGAGAAAGCCTCTAGAGAACCCCAAGGTAGTGGCACCCATGCCCTGCCAAAGGCCGAGTAAGGCTCATCAACTACCCCCTTTCCTCAGAGGTTCAGGCATGGTCAGGGAGGCAGAACACTTGTGCACAGGGCTGGGAATCCAAACAGCTAGGCTTTCTGATGGCTGTCTCTGGTTCTTCAGGCATATGCAAAGACCATGCTAGCAAGTCAGCCATCTGTGCCTTCCCAATGTCTGACTTCCTAGCCATTTGGGATGTTCCTTTCAAATACTCCTCTTTCCATGATATAACAGAGGCTCCTTCATTTTTCTGTCCCTGTGGCCCTTCTTGCCCCCACATCTCCACTCACTGGCTCATCTGTGCTCTGAGCAGAGGCTCCTCCTATGTGTTTCCTCAAAGAGGATGCACCATGGCCCTTGAAGTTCTGGAGCCAGGGACTTCTCCCAGGAGCCATAGCAGGCGCACACCTGGAACAGCCCCAGGCAAGGGCCTGGCTCCTCCTTGTGCCATTCCTTCTTGGGCTGGACTGTGGCCTGTGTAGTGCCCCATTCCACACCAGTACCCTTAGTGCCCCAGCTGCAGCCATAGAACTGCCTGAGATGCTCTGAAACAGACTCTTGGTTCCTCAACAACCACTAAAGACAAGAAGCCCCCAATGGGTATTTCCTGAGACTATTTCTCTGTTTACATATCAATTCCCTTTTAAAGCACTTATGGAGTAAAAGTCCCATGTGACTCTTGCCTCATAAGTAGCCTTGGGGTGGAGCTAGGTGGGCCAGAAGGATAATAATTTAGCCAAGACTAGCCTGAATGAGCATTTGAGATCAGAATGGCTGGAACTTGGGTCCTTCACAGAGCTTGAATCTGAGCCAGACTGGCATGTCAGGAGGGAGCCTTGGCTTTTGTCTTGGGCTTCTGTTCAGGCAGATGGCACAGTTTGGAATGCTGTTTCTCTCCAAAAGTGATCCTGGCACTCATGAGGTCATGTGGCTGGATTCATGTTCCTCATAGGACCAAATTACAAAGAGCTTTCCTCTAGCCCTTCCAGCTGTGTTTTGATGGGTGGTACAGGCTGCACACAGGCTTGTGGGCAGGCATCCACTGGGGTCCTGCAGTGCACTGAGGTGCTCCCCTCACCTGGTTTCCCATGGATGCAGTTCAGGCCACAATGCTTGATCTAAGCATCTTTAAGAATTAAATGAGAATGTCTGCTCTGCAGACTGTGTGGTCCTCTTCCTGCTAGTCTGTTTCTTCACCTTGCCTTACTTGCCTGGCAGGTACGTGGGACATATGGTATAACCCAGCCTGGAGCTGGCTTGGCCTCATGCTGCTGTTGACCCATTTCCTGTGAGAACACACAATGTCTCCAGAAATGCCTGTGCTTCCTGGTGGATGATGGGAATAACCTTTTCACCCACCCTGTCCACAGCTACGGGGGGCCCAGCTGCCAAGTGCACCTGCCACCATGACCTGCCACTGCTGATCCCTGGCCCTAAGTCTGCACCTTGCTCCCTTGCCCAAACTCTCCCTCACCACACTCTGGCAGTTTAATTCCCCAGGCCTTTGACCTTCTTCACCTCACTGCCTTTCAGCTCCACTTGCTGACTTCCTGGCTCCCACTCCTGCAGGCTTGAACCTCCTTGTTCTTTTCTTCCCATTGATTTCACGAGCAGTCATTGTCCACTGGTCATCTCTACATGGGAACTGATGGCTTATTTTACAGATGCCTGTCTGTTTGATGCCCTCACCTGGGCCTATAGCCTGGGATAACCTTGCATTGGTGTCCACTCAGGACAGGGAGAGAACCAGTAGCTCATCCTCACAGAACAAACCCAAGGCAGGGCCTGCCCTCCATGTCTCTAGTCCTGGAGGGGGCAGAATAATTGTCATCATTTTGGTTCTTCAAAAGGCACTGTTCTAATGGAAGTAAGAATGATTCGATCTGACGGAATTTCTCAGGTCTAGGGAGTAGGAGAGCCTTGTCCTCATGAGGGAAGGCAGCAGTTCTACCTGCAAAGGTCAGTATGCTATGGGACATGTGGAAGCACTGTGATTCCTGAGCCCAGCATGTCTTGACTGGGTCTGGCTTTGGTGGCCCCACAATGTAGCATGGGTGCCTGACCCAAAGTCCTGCCAAGCCAGCTTCATTCTCCTTTACATGGGTCTTGAAGATGGCATGATTGGGGTCTGCCCTTAGGATGGCCCTCTGGCTGTTCCCTGAGAGCAGGGCCCATTTCTCATGAGCAAAGGTCAACCCCAATGGCAGGACCATGAGTGGGCCATGGAGCAACTCAGGGCATCCTGGTCTTCAGAGATGAAACCAACAAGGCTCAACACTGTGCACTAGATGTGTGATCCATGGCATGTTCTTTACAATTCCTGAGCCTCAGTTTTCTCTATTGAGCAAGGGCAACAACATGTACCTCACAGGGTAATTGTGAGGCTTAAAGACAATAATGGACACAGACCAGGCCTGTATTAGATTATTGTTTGTTAAATGGATAACTGCTCAGTGGTCTATTTGTGTGTTTATTGGGAATCTTTGTGTCATTTCTGGGCATTAAGCATAGTTGGCCTTGCATGGCTGGTATTTTCTCACAGTGATCCTCTTCACTTCGCAGAGGAGGTGAGAGATCTCTGAGAGCAGACGTGCCCCTATTTCTATGCAGGCATGACAGTGCTGCAGTGGTTTCCTGAGCCGAGCAGCTTTTGCGGTTGGGTAATATCCACAAGACAAGCAACATGCATGATAGGAGAGGTACCTCACCTGAATGCTATCCTCAAGGAGTGTTGGTGGGAGTAGCCTCAGTCTGGAGAGATCTAGAGAGAGAATGCAGGAGCACTGTGGCTGTTCTGCTCTGAGTCTCAGTGGGGGAGCACCGAGTCTTGCATGGAGGCTTATGAGATGCATTAGCAAATTTGCCTGTGATGCTTGTCTGAGGGGAAGAAAACCTCTCCATGGGTCCAGAATTAAGATCTCAAAGACTGCAATGGGCTGGAAACACACTTGAAGAGAATGATGAAATGAAATAAATATAAATGTCAGGTTCTACCTTCACATTTAGAAAATCAGTTGTTCAAGCAGAGTAATAGGGAGACCTAGATCACCATCAGTTAACTGAAAAAGTCCTCCAGAGTTACTCAGTAATATGATGTTGCTTTATCTATACTGA